AGCTCTTTTCAAGACGAACATTTTCCGGGGTCAAACGTTGAAATCCGTCCATATCAATTTTGGACAGAGGCTTGATCGATTTGGCAAAGAATGCCCCATTTATATATTATATATGCATAAAATATACAGAGTGTCCCGAACTTTTTTGCCAATTACTTTTGTGTAGATAGAGCGGACTACACTGAGTCGTAAAGTCCTCTACCATTTTGTAAATTTCGCAGTAGTTTACAAGTATTAATTACTAAAAATTGCCAAATATTGGTCTTGAATAATTTTTTACTCAAATACTATGAATTTTATAGAAAAGCTGCAAGAGACAAAAGTAATTAATTTTCTTAAAGTTCTGAGAATATTTTCAGAATTTTTTTATCAACTTTTTAGTACTGCATTTTCTTATTTTTACCAACATGAGAAAATACGGTATTAAAAAATTCTGAAAAAATTCTGAAAAAATTCTCAGAACTTTATGAGAAGAAAATAAATGATTTTTGTCTCTTGCAGTTTTTCTGTAAAGTTGATAGTATTTGAGTAAAAATTTATTCAAGACCAATATTTTGCAATTTTTAGTAATTAATATCTTGTTAATTATTGCGAAAATTGTAAAATGGTAGACTTTTCGACTCAGTTTAGTCCGCTCTATCTACATAAAAGTTATTAGCAAAAAAGTTCGGGACACCCTGTATATAACATTTTTTTCCGGAACGTGATTTTAATTTAGATAAACATTTAGATTTATTAAAGATGACGAAAAATTACGGATCAAAAGGTTTAGATTAGTGTCTTTGAATGCATAAAATCTAATAAAACACAAGAATACCAGTGTAGGTTCTTATAAACATTTACATTGTTGCGATCAGTGTTGGATACCGTTTAAAAGATATCTAGTTATAGGTATAAGTATTGTGAGGAAAAAGTATTTAGATATAAGTACAGATACATTTTTTTTATAATTACCTAAGTATAGATACCGATACAAGAAAAAAGTATCCGAAAAATTAGGTACTTTTTAGGTACTTAAAAAAAGGGAAGAAAAGAAAAATAGAGAAGAACAAAAAAATGGAAAAAATAGGAAAAGAAAAAGATATAAGCAGCATAAAATATACTACATTTTATTTGTTTGTTTTAACACATAAAAGAATATCTCGATGATAAAAAGTCGAAAACAACAAGCTGCGTACAGATTAATTTTATTTTATATAAATCTATTACTTACATATGTAAGTGCTAAAATGTTTGGATTTGGATAATGAAAATTGTAATCGTACGTACGTCATCACGATGGATTATTGATAGGAACAGTGTGGCAAACTGGTCATGTGACGCTGTCTCCTCAGGAGGTCACTCATGTAATTTTTCCACTAGGATGGAAACGTAAAAGATGAAAATTTTTTATCTGTACATATACATAAAATTTTTCACTTTTCTCGATTCCGCCCTAAGAAAAAAATTATCACCAATTGATCACAAGCATCAAAGCTCTGTAGAATTTATTATGAATGCAGAAAAAATCGCAATTCGTCATGTTACAAATTGTTCTTTTTCTCTAACTTGTGTATTCCTACATCTATAATAGACTGTATAGAGCTTTTGTGCTCAAAACCAATCAAAGAAGATCGGCGTCACGTCATCAGTTTGTCATTCTTTTTCTATGAGGTTTTTTAGTCGCCAATCACTAAATACCAGAAACTAAAATTACCTAGGCGCCCGGAAAAAAAAGTTTTATAAAATTATATAATTTTATATTAGTTATATATTGTGTAAAATTATGTAAAATTAAATATAATTATATATAGAATATGTTCAAATATGTGTGTGCATATTTCATATAAGTATAGGATGTCCCCGACCTACGAGATCACTTCTCGTGAGCAGGTAGAGCGGACTGAACTAAGTTGAAAAGTTTTTTTATCATTTGACAATTTTTGCTAATACTTTAGGAGATATTAATTTCTATATATTAAATAAGCACGCATCGGCGCGGATTACCACCAAGTACCTATACGCCCATCGGTCGCGGTCGCTTGTAAATGGTAAAGGACTTTTCGATTCAGTTCAGTTTGCTGTATCAGCTCGTGAGAGGCGATCCCGTAGGTCGGAAACACCCTGTATATAATTATATATAATTTTATATAATTTTATATAACTAATATGAAATTACACTGGTTGCAATTAATAAAAAATATTATGTATTAAAAGGAAAATAAAATTTACGAACGTCGACATTCAAGAAGCAGTCCGCCACGTAACTCATAAGTGATGTGAACGACGCTTAATCAGCCGCGCGGACGACGCATACATCAGTACGCGCATACGACGCTAGATGGTACATTGCAGCAGCAAGAGCACGGAATAAAAAGGAGGATCAAACTCGAGGATGAAAATGGGCTTGAAACACGGAAATGAGTTTCGGAAAATCCATGAAAAATCGGGACGATGTGATTTTAGCGCCGTTGCGGGAAAAGTTGGAAGTATATATTACATGGTAATGCGTACGGAATACACATGTATGCACATGTATAATTTATTTTTAATGCAGAAATTCCAAATTGTATAAAATTTCATTTTATTAGATTAAATAGTGAATGCATCAATATTTATTGAAAAATACATGAATTCATGCCAAGTCAAAATTATCATTAAATTATCGTTTTTTAACTTACCGATCAAAA